GCTCAACGAAGGTGCAGGTAAATTGTAAGCTTTTCTGGAAAGTTTGAGTGCTAGTGTAGCCATGTTCGGTATGCGTTTTGCACCTTCAAAGTGTAAAATGTTGCTACAAGATTGGGTTGGTCCAGTATCCAGCCTCACTCTTACTGGAGAAGTAATAGAGCAGGTGGATAAGTTTTGTTATTTGGGCAGCTACATCTCACCCGGCGGACGCATCGCAGATGAAGTGTCAGCTCGCATACAAAAGGCTCGGTTGGCATTTGTCAACTTGAGACATTTGTGGCACCGTCGCAACATCCGACTGTCTGTGAAGGGTCGAGTGTATGCTGCAGCAGATACACCAGTGCTGTGATACGGTGCAGAAACTTGGCCATTAAGTAAACAAGATAAAGACAGACTGTCGGTGTTCGAACACCGCTGTCTACGTAGCATTGCACGAATCTGGTGGTGTAGCCGGATGATCAATGCTGAGGTTAGGCGCAGAGTTTTGGGTTCATACGGTTGCCCACTAGAGCAAGTAGTCGATCTCCATAGATTACGTTGGTTGGGGCGTGTTACGCATGTCACCAGGTAGGTTGCTACGGCAAGCGATGTTCGCCGAAGCAGATACCGAGTGGAAAAAAGCCAAGGGTGGTCAAGCTAAGACCTGGCACGAGGGTATGAAAACCCTGACCAGGAGACTGGGTCACATAGGTCCTGTTAGGCTCCCTGGCTTCGGATCTCGGGATGATTGTAACCGATGGTTAGAGACACTGAGTGATATGGCTGGGTATCGGAAACAGTGGCGTTCGTGCATCTCCTCAATTTCTTTGCAACGTTAGACCACTGAACTTCTCCATTTTGTTTTCGACTCCACTTTCAACTTTCCTTTCTTATCCTATTCTTCATCCAAATGGGCAGCCAAAAGACAGCAACCAAAACCGACGCTCGAATATGCGTGGTTAATGGTTGTTCAAACTGAAACTGTCATGAGAGAAGTATGCCGGGTTTCGCTTTGCGTCTGGTAACGTAGATCTAGGCTGTTAGCGTCCATCATTCTTCGTCGATTGTACAAAACGCACGAGGAACATACCCGCAAGGAGCAGGCTAAGTTTTGTGCCGGCCGTGGCTGCATCGATCAAATCTTCACCTTCCGTCGGTTGCTTGAGCATCGTCATGCTTACCATAGACCAACGATCATTGTGTTCTTAAACATTCGCGCGGCTTTCGATGCTGTTGATAGGACCGCACTATGGAGCTGTTTGTTGAGGAATGGAGTACCAGGAAAGTATCTTTCGATCCTCAAAGAGTTGTATCCTCATACCTCTGGTCGGGTTTGGGCCTATGACCAGCTTTCACCACCTTTCGCTGTCTCCAGTGGATATCGACAAGGCTGGCCTATATCCCTTTTCCTTTTCAACTTCGCCATAGAGGATGTTCTGCAGG